CAGCATTATAGTAGTAGTTTTATTGCCCTAAAAAATTATCTGTGCTTTGCCTATTCACCCATTCTCCTCAACCCCTTGCAACCACTGATTTTTTTTACTGTCTCCAAAGTTTTCTGTTCTACTTTTTAATAATACCTATATCTGGGTGGGACTCACAAAAATGCTTATTTGCCTATTTTCAGCTTGCATTATATATGACCTTTTTATTACATGTATGGGGAAGGGGGTGGTAGAGGGAGTTTTGTTTCTACAAGCAAATCCTAACATCAGATGTGAAATCTACACAGCTGTAAGCATTCTTCTGGGAACCTGAGCTGGGGTTCATCTCAACTGCTTAATGCAATTACCTAAACCAGTCATGTAGTATTAATGTAATCTGCCCATTTCTACAGCTGAAAAGAAGTTTAATCTTTAAAGAGCCAGTAAAAAGAGACAACTTGCTGCCCCACAATTCCCCTAGCTAGGAACCAAATAATAATTAGCTTGCCAGTTTATTCTCAAAATCAACTAACTTCCAGTTAACCATTTGCCTTATAAATCTTTACTGTCATATGATAAATTGATATTAACATAATAAATGGGCAGTTATACATATATAGGCATTCCTAACTGTCTCCATACAAGTCAAACCAAGAGATCTAAGATACAAAATCACTGATCAGCCTCTTCTCTGCTTAAAACTTAACAGTGGTTCCTCACTGCCCTCAGAATAAATGCTATCTGTACAAGACCCTTAAATACCTGTTCTTACTTACCTCAAGTCTCACCTCTCACCATCTTCTACACCACAAAACTCAACTTTTCAGCTCTCTAAACTTCCCTGAACCTATCGAGCTCTTGTCAATGAGCTATTTTTTTTGCCTGGAGCACACAATCCGTTCCTTTTTTGCCCAGATAATTTCTAGATATTCTTCTGCTTCCAACTAAGTTGGATTATTCCTCTAAATAGAATTGGCCTGGCTCCTCCAATCGATGTTAGATACAATTCCAAAGTGTTCTCACAGTCCCTGGTACTTGCTCCATCACAGCACTATTTAAACAGGCAAGTATAACTAAGTGCAATTTGTCTATATCCCTCAATAGACCAAAAGATCAGTAACAACGGGAACTAGGAAGTAGATCTCTCTCATTCACTACTGCATTTCTAACACCTAATGCTGCATCTGGCACAAAGAAGAAACTCAAAGATATTAAAAGACTGAATAAATGTGATATTAATATTTAGGATTAGGGGGTGAAAGTGTGAAGCTTATCTATCTACTTCCTCAATAAAAACTGGTCACATTCTCTTTGGTTTATTCAGCCAGTATTTACTGTCTACTCACATAAAAATAAAAGAGAATCTAACCCAGAGTCCAGTCTTCAAGGAACCTACAGTCTTGAGAGAAAATAAGACATGTACAAACATAAATATGAAAGATCAAAAAAGTGTGTTATTAGATTCTAAAGTGTGCTGCACAGACACTGAGTGCCAAAAAAGAGATAAGGGAAAGCATTCTAGAAGTAAAATTTGAGCTGAGCCTTAATGGATAAGGCTGAAGACAGAAAGTATAAAGACAAATGTGCTACAGTTCAGCACTTCTCAAAGTGGGTCGGAAGGCAACTTCCTCCTTTCAAGGGTACTTAAGGTCAAAAGTATTTTCATAATAAGCCTAAGATTTTATTTGCTTTTTTTTACTTTCATTCACTATCAATTATACAGTGCCATTCTCCTAAGGCCATATGGCATGCAATATCACAAAAGATTAAATGCAGAAGCAGATATGAGAATCCAGCCATTTTCTATTAAGCCAGACACTTGAGACTTGTAAAAATGTAAGACAGTGCCACTCACTAAACTTGTGTTTTGAAAAAGTTATCTTTCATAGTATTTACTTTATTTATTTTATTTTTATTTTTAGAGACAAGTCTCGCTATGTTGCCCAGGATGGTCTCATACTCCTGGACTCAAGTGATCTGCCAGCCTCAGCCTCCCAAAGTGCTCTGATTACAGGCGTGAGCCACCCACATACTATCTGATTTTAGGATAGTGACGCCTAAAAGTAAAGGAAGAAAAAAACAAAAGAATTAGTGATATGCTTTAAAGAGAGAGAGAGAGACAGAAAATGTCCGGTCATGCATAACTTCAAAATGTGTTTAACGTACAGGCACAGGCTTTCTTCTTGATAACTATTTTTACTTAGTGCAAAAATACAAAAATAATCTTTTAAAATCATACTTATCCTGTCACCCAAACACAATAATACAGTTTCATATTCCTTTTGAATTATCACATATAGGTGTTTTCACAATGCTATAATCTTCACGATTACCATTAAGATTACTGCAAAATCATATCCAGCATTCTTGCAACCTAAATAACAACTTTCATATTTGATTTTCCAAATTTTTTATAAAAATATACTGAAGCCGCATACAAGACACAGTATGACAAACTATTACATCCAAAAACTTATTCTAGAATGCCAAGGAATATTATTTTAAATCAAACTTGCCTGAGAGATCCTGTAGCTTAACCCACAAGGATAATGACATCTTGCCCTAGAACCACCGAAAGCCTTAAACTAAGAACCACGTATCTCTCCAACTTTGAAAGCTCCACTCACTCTCAAACTACCTCAAGAGCCCATTCCCCACCATTCCAGGTGCTAGCTCACGGTTCCATAAGCACAATTAAGGCTTGTATTAGTGCTTCCCACCACCTGAAATGATTTCTTCTCTCATCTTCACCTGCCCAAAGTTCATCCTTTAAGGGTCAACTTGAAAGCCAGCTCATCCATGATTCCTTTTTAGTTCCTACAACTGAACATTATATCCCTCTTTGGATATTTGAAGGACTTTGGTTGTTACTTAAAATAGAAAACTTACTCTACTTGCCTATCATTACTTTTTAATCTCACATCTTCTTTCAGATCTTTAGCCTCTTAAAGATTTAGGGACTGTCTTATCAATCTCTATTCCCTGAAGCACCTTGGAAATATAAAGTACTACAGAAAAATGAGGCTTGGATAAATAGATAACTGCCTGGAGTCACACATCTAGTGACAGTCAAATCTGAATGCCAGATCCTCTGACTCAAAGCCATCTACTGTCTTCTTTTTTTTTTTTTTGAGACAGTCTTACTCTGTCACCCAAGCTGGCGTGCAGTGGTGCGATCTCGGCTTACTGCAGCCTCCATCTCCTGGGTTCAAACAATTCTCATGCCTCAGCCTCCTGAGTAGCTGGGATTACAGAATGTGCCACTACGCTCAGCTAATTTTTTTGTATTTTTAGTAGAGTCGGGGTTTCACCATGTTGGCCAGGCTGGTCTCAATTCCTGGCCTCAAGTGATCTGCCCGCCCTGGGCTCCCAAAGTGCTGGGTTTAAGGCATGAGCCACCATGCCCAACCTCAAAGCCATGTACTTTCCATCATACCGTAATTTTATGCTCCCTTCCTAGCATCTTTCTTGTAATAATCATTCAAGAAATCTGTAAAACTGAATGAAAATCAAACTGGCTTTGTACTTAACCTTAGGGAACCTCTAAAATAAAAAATAAAAAATAAAAAATCCAGAGAAAATAATTTCTAAACTTGTACTTTCATCACCCATGCCATCATATCCTTGCCTATCTTCTTATTATGGCCAAGGAAACTTAATGCACATTTTTCAGCAGACAGTATTATGACCAACTTCAATTCCAGTAGTATTACATGTATTTCACCACCATATTTTCCTGGTTCTTTATTTGAGCAGAATTGGAGCTACAACTAGTATGCCTGGTGCAGAACAGAATTCAATAAATGTTTGTTGAATAAGTAAATGAATAAGTGATCAAATTAATCATTTCTACTGCTGTCCAGGAGCCTGAGTTTACCTTCTCTGGTTCCTCCTCCAGTTCCTTCACCATTACTGTCTCATTAGGGCAATGGCTAACAAAAACAGCTGTACACTGGGCTATAGAAAACAGTTGGCAACTATAGTTTTACATAGCTTTTCAGTTTCTGATGCCACCTACTAAGCAGTTCAATTCTGCTTCAAAGGCAACTCAAAATTATCACGTCCGTTCACCTAGTTGTTCAATAAAAAACCTGAGGTTTATATTAATATTTGATTCCTCTTACTCTGCCTTCCACCATGATTGAAAGTTTCCTGAGGCCTCCCCAGAAGCTGGACAGATGCCAGCAGCATCCTTCCTGCACAACATGTGGAACCGTGAGTCAATTAAACCTCTTTTCTTTATAAATTATGCAATCTCGGGTATTTCTTTATAGTAATATGAGAAAAGACTAATGCAGGTACTATGCAAGTATTTTTACATGCATTACTTCTAAATCTTTAGAAAATATTATCTCTAGGCCTCATAGTAATTCCACAAGACAGAATTATCATCCTAATTTTATAAATAAAGAAACTAAGCAATAAAAGTGACCATGGCTAGTAAGTGGGGAAGCCTAAATTCAAACTTATTAGGACTGACTTCAAAGCCCATGATCTAGACACGACATACTTCAGTTTCTCAAATTGGTTATATAAACATATAACAAGGTTGCCACCTAAGAATGCATGATACTCATAATATATATGTATTTTTTTCTTGAGATGGAGTCTTGCTCTGTTGCCCAGGCTGGACTGCAGTGGCGTGATCTTGGCTCACTGCAATCTCCGCCTCCCCTCCTGGGTTCAAGTAATTCTCCTGCCTCAGTCTCCTGAGTAGCTGGGATTACAGGCATGTGCCACCATACTCGGCTAATTTTTGTATTCTTAGTAGAGACGGGGTTTCACCATGTTGGCTAGGCCAGTCTCAAACTCTTGACCTCATGATCTGCCCACCTCGGCCTCCCAAAATGCTGGGATTACAGGCATGAGCCACTGCACCCATTCAATACTCATAATATCTTTATTCGAATTACTGACTGGGCTGTCACAGTGAAATCTAAAGTATTCTTTATAAATTTCTGAACTCTTCATATGAAATACTATATTTTAACACAGATTCATTTAGTAATTGCTTGACTTACTTGTTTGTGTTTTAGAAGCATGTTTCTGGAGAAAATCAACTATCTGAGCCAAAACCTTCTTATTACAATGCGTTGATAATTTTTCATCACATTCATAACACCTGAAAAAATATAAAATTTAAGAAAATATTATGAAAATATCCTCAATAATTTTGCACATCAGATAACAAAGTTGGCATTTAGTTACTTTTGTCTTAAATTACATGGGAGGGAATACAAATGTATTTGTATACAAATGTACCCAGAAGGCATCAGGTAAGTCTAGAGAAATAAGCAGGGGACAATTCATACAGAGCCTTACAGTTGAAATGAAAGTTTTGGCAGTTTATCTTTGGCAGTTTATAATGAAATGCCATGAGAGGGTTCTTAAGCAGGGCCATGATATGGTCCAAATTATATTTTATTTATTTTTTTACTTTTGAGACAGAGTCTCACTCTGTTTCCCAGGCTGGAGTGCAGTGGTGAAATCTCAGCTCACTGCAGCCTCTGCCTCCAGGGTTCAAGTGACTCTCCTGCCTCAGCCACCCAGTAGCTGGGATTACAGGCATGCACCACCACGCCCAGCTAATTTTTGTATTTTTATTAGAGATGGGGTTTCACTATGTTGGTCAGACTGGTCTCGAATGCCTGACCTCAAGTGATCCACCCGCTTCGACTTCCCAAAGTGTTGGGATTACAGGTGTGAACCACCACACCCAGCTCCAACTTACACTTTAAAAACATCACTCTCACTAATGTGATAAACTAGATTGGAGAGCATTAGGAACAGAAACAGATTAGTGTAGTAGCAGACGATCTGCAGAGAAATGGGCATTCATTACATATATTTGCAGGTAGAAACAGTAACAAATTAGATATAAAAGAGGAGGGAAAGGGAAGTGTCAAAATAACTGCCTTGGGTAGGGAGGAGTGAGACAATGTCAGCAATCCTCAATGCTGGTGTTGAGAATCGCTGCCGTTCTCAATGAGGAGTGATTTTGCCACCTAGGGGACATTTGACATTTTTGGTTCTGACAACTGGTGAGAGAAGAGAGGACCACTACTGGCATTTAAGTGGGTAGAGGCCAGGGATGCTGGTAAACATCCAATAACGTACAGGACAGCACAACAGGGAATTAATCACAGAGCATTAACAGTCCAAATGCCAAGAGTATTGAGATTGAGAAATCCTGGCCTAGATGAAACAAGACTTGCTGTGAGTTGATAATGTTTAAAGCTGGAAAAACAACAACAACAACGGAAGCTGGTTGATGGGTATGGGAAAATTCATTATACCATTCTGTCTACTTTTGTTAACAGGCTAAAAAATAAAATAAGATAAAAAAAGGGGAAGAAAATAACTGCCAGGCTTCTAGCTTGATTACATACAGAGATGGGTAAGACTCAAAGAGATAGCTGTTCTATTTTGCTGGGGGCTTATTTGGAGGTAGAGGGTTAGGAAAGACATTTTCAAAAGCACATTCCAATTCAGAAAACTACACTCAATTAAGTTTACTCATTAATACATCATATTAATTTGTTTCCTCTCTATATTATAATTACCTGTTTCCTTTATCCTCATGAGATCCAGTGATCATTTAAGAACATGTGTTGGAAAGTGTTCAAAGTGTTTTATAAACATAATGCATTATGGCCGGGTGTGGTGGCTCATACCTGTAGTCCCAGCAGTTTGGGAGGCCAAGGCGGGAGGATCACTTGAGGTTGGAAGTTCGAGACCGGCCTGGCCAACATGGTGAAACACCATCTCTACTAAAAATACAAAAATTAGCAGGGCATGGTGGCAGGCACCTGTAATTCCAGTTACTCCCAGCCCGGGAGGCAGAGGTTGCAGTGAGCCAAGATCGCGCCACTGCACTCCAGCCTGGGTGACAGAGTGAGACTCCCATCTCAAAAAAAAAAAAAAAAAAAAAAAAAAAAGCAAAAAAACATAATGCATTACACCAGTGCTACCTTACATTTTCACAATCTTCTTACCTACCTTTTTCTAATTCAGTAGTTCTTAAACTGTGGTCTCCAGACCAGCAGCACTGGCAACACTTGGGAGCTTGTTAAATGCAAATTCTCTGGCCCCTCCACCCCAGAACTACTAAATTAGAATTTCTAAGACTGGGATCCTGTAGTCTGTTATAGTAAGATCTCCCTGAGATTCTGATGCAGCCAGAGTTTGAGATCACTAAAGTGAAATCCTTATTGAACTGCCGCACTATGGCACTACTGCTGTCTCCCTTGGTTCCAATGCATCATTTATATATTAAGTTCCCTCTGACCTTTCCTCATTCTCCCCAATACTACTACTTGGGACTCACAACAACAAAGAAAAACACAAATGCAGCAGGTGCCCAACCCTTCTGGCTGTATTAAAGATGATGACCTCTTCTGTCAGCTAAAATACCCTTATATTAATTTTAGACAAAACATTTTTATGTTAAAGAAAATCTGAGGACTCCTGAAAATTCATTCAAGGAACCCTAGGAGTCCATAGATTCAAGTTGGAATATTATTGTAAAATACAGAGGAAGCATTTCAACATAGTGTCCATTTATACCACCGAAACAGTGTGATATGCTAATAAGAAACTAGAAAATAAACTCATTTTTGGTTTTTTTTGAAAAGGAGTGTCACTCTATCACCAAGGCTGGAGTGCAGTGGCAACCTCCACCTCCCGGGTTCAAGTGACTCTCCTGTCTCAACCTCCTGAGCCGCTGGGACTACAGGCATGCACCACAATGCCCAGCTAATTTTTGTATCTTTCGTAGAGACAGGGTTTCACCATATTGGCCAGGCTGGTCTCAAACGTCTAAACTCAAGTGATCCACCCACTGTGGTCTCCCTAAATGCTGGAATTACAGGTGTTAGCTACCACGCCCCACGAAAAAAACTTGTTTTAGTACCTGGATTTTTACTTCATAACCACAAAAACGTAAATATTACATAGTTTCCTTACAGGTAACATAGGAAACTGGACTAGGTTCTCAACTAGGATTAAATAGCAGAATGACCTGAAAAGTTTTTACAAGCTATTTATGCCCAGCTCTTCCTTCTCCCTTCAGAAAATGACCTGACTGCTTGAAGTATCTTCCTTCTCTACAACGCTAGAATTCTGTATAAGGAAGTTCACTACCAAAAAAAATCAACTAAAAAGAATTTTTCTTTATATTACAAGGAAAATGTTAGAGAAAAGTAGAGAGGCCGGGCGCAGTGCCTCACGCCTGTAATCCTAGCACTTTGGGAGGCTGAGGAGGGCATATTGCCTGAGCTCAGGAGTTCAAAGACCAGCCTGGGCAACATGGTGAAACCCCGTCTCTACTAAAATACAAAAAATTAGCCAGCTGTGGCAGCGTGCGCCTGTGGTCCCAACTACTCAGGAGGCTGAGGCACGAGAATTGCTTGAACCCGGGAGGTGGAGGTTGCAGGGAGCCGAGATCACATCACTGCACTCCAGCCTTGGTGACAATGTGAGACTCCGTCTCAACAACAACAACAAAAAAAGGTGAGAGATAGTTAAAATTTTTCCAATTTAAATTTTATATTCATAGGTAATGTTAATTTTCTTCAAGTATCCCGTAGATTGTGTTCAGGTTAAAAAACCATAAGCTGATAGAATATCTTTAAATATTTTACCTTAAAAGCTTAAAGAAAAAATTGGGGGGGGGGGTGATTAGTGGACACGAGAACTAACAAAATTTAACTTACCATATAATCCATGTGCTCAGATTAATTATAATACAATGGGGCTCTGTTCTGGAATTCTTGAAGTGCTTCAGTGAATGTTGGCTTTCTGAGTTTTTACCACATCCCTGAAGATGAACAGAATGCTATTTTGTGTGACTTACAAATATTTGTTTCAAATTAATCAAAACTTAAATTATATTCACACTTATACTGAAAAGTTTTGTTCTGTTTTTAATTTCAGGCCAGAGGAGAAAGTTACAAAAAATCAATATGGATTCTCATTAAATTTAATTTCTTGCAAACAGGTTAACATGCTTTTCAATATACAGTATTTACCAAAAACAATCATGGGCAAAGTTAATTTCCCTATCATTTAAAAATGTACACACTGTCTGGCACACCGTGGAACACCCAGCATCCTGGCAGGCCAGTGGTGCCCTTCCACAAACACACATTTCCCAATCCTGTACACAACTTCACCCCAACCCACTGAGAACTACTGAGACACAGACCAATCACAGCGATTTCCCTCACAAGGTAAGTAAAGAAATGAGATGCAATTCTGGTTAATGCAACATGAAGGGAAGTCAAATCTGCTGAATCTTTCCAGAAAGGTTTTTTCCTTTTTTAAAGAGGAACACAACCATGAGGCTGAGGATGGCAGAGCAGAGAACAGAATAAACTTCAGTTTTTAATGTTCTTTCCATTAAATTAACTAATCCTGAAGTGGCCTTACTTCTGGACATTTCATGTGAGATAATGAAGATTTCTCTTATTTTTTTTAAAAAAAGTATATACTTTTAATTTCATTAGAAAATTTATTACAGGTATCAATAACTTTTAAACTTTAAGATTTTAAACTATTTTGCAAAAGCAGCAGAAAAATCTGTTTTGAGAGAAAAAAAATTAATCTGAAAGGTGGATCCATTTCCTAAGTAAATACAAAAGGTAAACACTGGTCCAGATATGGGAACTACTGCATATAGGTTGAATTCCCTCTGCAAGTATTTATAAACCACACTTGATTACTTTCTGAACATAGCATACCTTTTACTTTAACAATCATTTTTAAGTTCATTCTTGGAAAATTTCTATCTAAATTGGAATAAATTTATCTTAACTCCTATGCATGACCAACAGTCCAGCTCACAATAAGCATTTAAGGAAAATATTTCAGATAAACTCACATATAAATAACACTTTTCTTACCTGGAAGCCACACTTGAGGCACAACCAAATATCAGAAGGAAGTACTGGCTGCCCATCATAGAATCTTCTTTCTTTTAAACATTCTGAGCAAACTGACCACAGATTCTCAGCTATTGCTCGCTTTACATGATTCACGCTGATAGCATGACTTACATGTTGGCAAGTTAAACCTACTGAATAAGATAAAACAAAATCTCAACATTTTCTTTGCTACACCAAAGTGCTACCATTACTAAGCAAATCTCAAAAGTATTAAATGCTGTTCACTAAAAAGCACAGATTCAACACACAAAATAACTCAAAAAATATATGCTATGTAATTCCATTTATATAATGTTCAAGATATAATATAATTGTAGAATGAGAGAAGAGATTCATGGTTTTAGGGGGCAGTGGACACAAGGCAGAGGGTATTGCTATAAATGGACAGCACATAAGGTGGTGATGATACAGTCAAGTATCTTGATTAGTGGTGGTTATACAAAGCTATACATGTACTAAAATTGGATGATGTTTCAGGATAGTCAGTTTGCTGCACTGAAGGATGTCTGAAGTATCTCTTTAAATATCATTAGGACCTTACCTGATGTCACTGATTTATTATGGTTTCAATTTTTGAACTAATTTTAGATTCACAGAAAGGTACAAAGAAATATACAAGGAGGTCTCATTCACCCTTCACTGAGCTTCCCCTGATATTAATATTTTGGACTACTATAGTAAAATATCAAAACCAGGAAGCTGATGTTGGTAAAATCCTTAGAACTTGTTCGGATTTCACAAGACATATGCACTCATATGTGAGTGTGTGTGTATAGCTGTATGCAACTATGCACACCTAAAATGGAAATAATATATTAAAAATATCTCTTTAAATGGAGAAAACTGGCAAGAAAGTGAGGAAAATCCTCAGAGGCCTAAATGAAAAGCATGAGACTAAAGAGAAAACCAAGCCCTGAGGCCAGCAGCTCCCAAAGGCCATCTGCCAAGCTCTGGTGGCTTGGTGACATGGTTTTAATAGGCCATGAGAAAGAGACCAAAAAAAAAAAAATCCAATCTAAGTTACTTCATATTATAAACTAAACAAAAATCCTAATAAAAATACCAACAGGATTTTTTGGAACTAGACAAGGTGATTCTAATGCTTACGCAGAAAATAGTAAAAATAAAGAGTAACAGATTTCTTAATTAAAAACATATACAGTCATCCCTCAGATACTTGAGGCAGAGAGGTGGGGTGGCGTAGTTGGTTCTAGGACTTCCCCACATATACCCAAATCTGTGCATACTCAAGTCCCGCAGTGGGCCCTGAGGAATCTGCACGCAGTGGGCCCTGTGGAATCTGCATTTAGGAAGTCAGTCTGCTGAGTATGCAGTTTTTACGCATCCCAAGAATAGTGTATTTTCCATCTACGTTTGGTTGAAAAAAATTCGTGTACAAGTTGATCCTCAGAATTCAAACCCATATTGTTGAAGGGTCAACTGCATTGTTATTTCTTCTCAACACCATTTGGGATGCCAAATATCACAATTTACCAGCAATATCATCTGAAGAGTCTTCTTCATGAGGTACAGTAGGCCTTTTACTTCTTTTGGCTTTCTCAGGTAAAACTTTACTTGGATCTTTCACCCGCATCTGTTATTTACTGAAGGGATTGAGGGAAAAAAATTCATACATTTGAGTCTTCAAAATTAAAATTTTATATTTTATTTAATGCATATCAAAATTGAAATGACTTCAATTTTAATTGGTCTGGGATATCAACAGAGGAAGAAGGAGGGAACATCAGTTGAAATGAAATAAATCTTTGTTAAATCAGTATACACATGATATATTCCACTGGCTTTTGCCAACTATACTATTATGGACTAAATGTTTGTGTCCCCACCCCAAATTCATATGTTGAAATCTAATCGCCAAAGCGATGGTACTTGAAGGTAAAGCCTTTGCGAGGTAATTAGGTCATGTAAGTGGAGCCTTCATGAATGAGACTGGCCTCTTATAATACAAGCTACCTTTGTATCCACATGAGGATATACAGAGAAGATGGCCATCTATAAACCAGGAAGAAGGGCCTCACCAGATACTAGATTTGCCAGCACCTTGACCCTGGACTTCCCCCCTCCCATTACTGTGAGAAATAAGTCTGTGTTGTTTAAACCACCCAGCCTATAATAATTTGCTATAGCGGGCTGAACCAAGACACAGCCCCTAAATATAAGATGTCCAGGTGAATGACCAAAACTAAAGTTTTCATCAACGGAGTAAGTGTTGCTTCTGGATAATGAGTTCTCTTCACCCTTTCCTCCCTTCTGCTAGCAAGGAAATAGTAGGAGGTGGATGAGCCATACTGGATCAAAAATGGAAGCTGTAAGCCAAGCACAGTAAAGCCACCTGTGCTGTACGACTAGCACCAGAATATTAAGAGAAAATTAAATTTTTTTTTTTTTTTTTTTGAGACGGAGTCTCACTCTGTCGCCCAGGCTGGAGTGCAGTGGTGCGATCTCGGCTCACTGCAAGCTCCACCTCCCGGCTTCAGGCCATTCTCCTGCCTCAGCCTCCAGAGTAGCTGGGACTACAGGCGCCCGCGACCTCGCCCGGCTACTTTTTTTTTTTTTTGTATATTTAGTAGAGGTGGGGTTTCACCGTGTTAGCCAGGATGGTCTCCATCTCCTGACCTCGTGATCCGCCCGCCTCGGCCTCTCAAAGTGCTGGGATTACAGCCGTGAGCCACCGCGCCCAGCCAATTTCTATCTTTTTAAGCTACTACATTTTGCGGGGGTTCACTCTAGCTTTTTATCATGAAAAATTTTAAACATCTACAAAAGTTAAAAGAACAGTATAATGAACACTCATATACTATTTAGATTCCACATTTATTACATTATTATTTTTTTTTAGAGACGGATCTTGGCTCACTGCAACCTCCACCTCCTGGGTTCAAGCAATTCTCCTGCCTCAGCCTCCCTAGAGTAGCTGGGATTATGCTCGGCGCGTGCCACCAGGCCTGGCTAATTTTTTTTGTATTTTTAGTAGAGACGGGGTTTCACCATGTTAGCCAGAATGGTCTCGATCTCCTGACCTCGTGATCCGCCCACCTCCGCCTCCCAAAGCGCTGGGATTACAGGCGTGAGCCACTGCGCCCGACTATTATTATTTTTTTGAGACAGAGTCTCACTCCGATTGCCCAGGCTGGAGTGCAGTGGCCTGATTTCAGCTCACCCAGCCTCGACCTCCCCAGGCTCAGGTGATTCTCCCACCTCAGCCTCCCAAGTAGCTGGGACTATAGATGCACACCACCACATCCAGATAATTTTTTTTGTATTTTTTAGTAGAGATGGGATTTCCACATGCTGCCCAGGCTGGTCTTGAACTCCTGGGCTCAAGCAATCCACACACGCCTTGGCTTCCCAAACTGCTGGGATTACAGGTATGAAGCATGGTGCCCCACCAATTCCACACCTATTAACAATTTGCTATATTTGTTTTTATCTAAATATCAATATGTGTGTACACAGAGACACATATGTATGTGTGCATATATATATATATTTGTTGTTGTTGTTGAACTGTTTGAAAGTTGTACAGATCTTGACAGTTCATCCCTAAATACTTCAGCATGTATCTCTTAAAAATAAGCAGTCTCCTATATAACAATGTAATCATATCTAAGAAAATTAATAATTTTCTAATATCATCTCATTTTCCATCATATTCTAATTTCCTTATTTGGCCCTAAATTGTCTTCTATAGCTGGTTTTTTGAAAAAGATCCAATCAAGGTTTGCACTTTATATTGGTTGTGTCTCTTTAGTATCTTTTAATCTATTAAGAGAACAGTTCTTCAACCTTTTACTTGCCTAAGACTTTAGCTTTTTAAAGAGATCAGGCCAGTGCATGAGTCACCTTGAGGGTCTTGTTAAAATCAAAGTTCTGATTGAACAAGTCTGGCACAAGACCTGAGATTCTACCTATCTAAAAAGCTTAAAACTGAAGCCACTGCTGGGGGCCCACAGAATACTCTTTCAACAGCAAAGTTGTATAATGTCTCACATTGAATTTGTCTCTTTCTTTATGGTGTTATTTACCTCTATCCCTTACATTTCTTAAAAATTCAGTTAATTATAAAAGATTTTAGATACAAGCTAAGCATTTTTTAAAACCACTATATTTTGGAGTCTCTGTTAGAGTAGCTTAGCCTACCTATTACTCCCCTGCCTGGTAGCTAAGCAACATCGCAATTTTCATGGTTGCTGACTTACTTTTCAATGATCAAAGTAATGAATCTTTCAATTCAGTACTAAATTCCAAATCTTGATTTATTCATTCCATATTTCACAATAAGGGAGCTTTCAAGTTTACCATTAAGTCCAAAGGTCATCACTACTGAACTAAGTTGCAATAAATTAAGGGCTTCCGGGTTAGGAACATGTAAAAAGCCTCTGAGTTCCTTAAGCACTTCATCTCTACCTTCTCCCTCCAAACTTCCTCATCTACTCTCCCCTACAGTTCCACCTTATAAGATCACTAATTTAAGTATCCCCTTCTCTGATCGTAACTTCCCAGTTCTTCCAGCATGCCTGATCAGCCACTCATAATTTCCTATAGTGTTCAGGCTGACAAGAGGCTGCATCTCAAGTCCTTCCATGACCCTTACAGAAGGGTAGACAGAAGCGGAAATGGCTAATGGAGAGCTGCTTCCTAAAGCAAGTCACATGGCACATTTAACTTCAAGTAGACATGGAGAGGGGTTGCCCATGTACAAAGAGTGCAACATTACATGTACCCAAAAAGAGGTGAACTAGAATACTTGTGCAGAGCCTTAAGGACGACATCACCTCTCTGGCAGAACCCAATCCTAGATGAACCCAATTAATCATTTTCTCCATGTCAGGAGAAAGTCTCTTAAGAAAGGAGACTAGGTCCATTATTACTCACAACACCTTCTGGTAAACTTACATACTATCCACAAAGCCACTTCAAATCTTCTTCACTTTCCTTAAACCTCTAACCCCTCCATCTCCCCACTAACTTATCAAAAACTGATCTAGTCTTTCACTAAGGGAAGAGAGACATAAGCAGATGGCAAATTTGATCTTTCTATTCCCAAATTTACAAACCTACCTCCATCAATTTAAATTTGATATCCTGAGATAGGTATAACTAATAAAGTACAGAGAAAATGGTCTACGAGAAACTGGTTATATTTTCCCGCCGTGGTACAGATAAGCTCTTGATAAAGATGAGCATTAACACAGATAATGCTAGCAAAATAATAAACAAAACCAGGCATTTGACCTACATACTGTAAGCAACCTGTGCCTTTTTTCAAAAACACTGACTCAAACTTAACTTGGTAATGTAGAGGCAATTTCTGATGATTTTTCTGCTATATATAATATGTCTAAACAGACAGAATCATTTGGTACAGTAACCCAGGATTCGGCAATCATGTATCTGCAGTTTTCCAATTTCCATTTAAGGCAAAAGGACAAATTTAAAAGTCCAATTATTAGAGCTTCCAATACTTTATATCATCAAAATTGTGTCTAGGCACTGGAGACTGGGAAGGATGGGAGTGGGGTGAGGAATGAGAAATCACTTAATGGAAACAATGTACATTATTCAGGTGATGGTTAACTAAAAGCCCAGTATCACTAGGAAATAGATCCTGTAACAAAACTGCACTTATATCCCTTACCTTTATACAAATTTACGAAACTGTGGCTGTGGATCTCCGTGATCTCCCCCACATTTAGAGTTTTGATAGGATGCACGGGACTCAACATATAATTGTATTCATGGCTGACATTTATTACACAATGCAGTATGGATATACAGGCTCATCACAATAGAAAAAGACACAAGTGGAGTCTGGAGGAATCACGTGTAGGCTCCTTATGCGGTCTCCCTCCCAAGAGGGGTCAAACAAAACACACCCTTCCTCCACCAATGAAAATACAGCAATACGTATGCAACGCTTCCGCGCAGGGAAGCCCATCAGAGACTTGGTGTCCCGGATTTTTACAGAAGCTGGTAATTTCGGTGTAAAACATACTGTTCAGCACAAACCCAAAAATCTAAGTTCCCAGATGCCAAACAAGCACCAATATTGCAAGCAGTCCTTTCTAAAGATAGCAGTCTCAGGCCTGCTATGTTAACTCTTTTTAGCACAAATATGTTCTGGCCATTTTTCTCATGCGGTTTTCCAAACAATAAACTTTACAGTTTTCAACTTCACCATCACTTAACACCTGTCTTTTCTCTAAAGTAGGATGTCCAACCAAGTTGTTTAGAAAGCTGTTTTTAAACAGGCTATGCAAAAAGCCCATATCCTTAAGAAAAAGTCCTTTTTTCCCACTCTTGGGCAATTATTTATGGGGGTTGGAAAGAGAAGAAAAAAACACTATCTCCTTTTATATACCAAGCTCAAAAAGATGAGCAGCATCTTACGGTTTGCTGTGTATCACGCTCAGTTCTAAGCACTTCACAGATATTAACCCACTCAACCCTCACAGCCACCTTAGGAGGTAAGTTGCTATTATTTTCCCGCATTTTACACTTGAAAGTGAGAAAGAGGTTGACTTGCAGAGGTCCCAGAGCCAGTAAGTGGTGGACGGAGATGCGGACCCAAGCAGTCCGGCTCCGGAGCTCCTATTACACGACGCTTCCAGAAAGTCGGGGTTAGACACGCTTCCTCCGGTCACCAACACACACTCCGAGGCTGTGAAGAGAAATGCGCCGCGAGGAGGCAGACGCAAGGGTGTGGGGCCGCCGCACGCCCAGGTCACCAGGGGACTCGGGCCCCTCCCAGGCGGCCCCTCGCCAGCCCTGACGCCTAGGGCTTCTCCCGCAGCCGCAGGGACCCGAAGCCTGCAGAGCTGCGCTCACACGGCCCTGGGTGACCGCCCGGCGCCCCCAGGGATCGGGAAGCCGAAGGGGGTGGGGAGCCTCTCTTCCAGCCTCGCCCACCCACAAGGGGGTCAAGGTCGCCGAAGCGAAGACCGAGAAACTGCGGCGACCACACCGCCGCTGCGACCACATTCGCGTCCCCAACTCACCCTGCCCGGCCTGGCCGCAGCGTCTACAACCTGGGGAGACTGCGCCTGCGCGCCCGTCTGGCGCCCGGCAGAGGTGGGGCCTCGTGCGCCCGCCAGCAGCCTGGCCCGGGAAGGTTCCAGGCGGCGCGCGCGGGGCCGGGGAGCGCGGGGAGGGGTAGAAGGGCGGGGCCGGCTTGCGTGGCGCCTGCGTTCTGCTTGTCCGCAGAGCCCGGAGAGCCCCTGGTAATCTTAGAGTAATAGCTACGGACTAGCAATTTGTTAGGATCCTGGGCCAGCGGGCGCACCTCGGATGTTCCAGGAGTCGGCTTAAGTTCCACTTGTTGCTGGGCGCCTTCTGAAACAAACTCCGATTTCCCTCCGTTACCCTCCTCTGGACTCTCAAAGTCACTTCTAACATTCGTCATATATTATTGTGCTTTTCTTCCCCATTGCTGTTGTCTTACCTGTCCTTCTCTCTTCCTAACTAGACAGTACATTTCTTCAAATACACCTATACCTCCTCAAAGCCCGGTTATCTGTTAAAGTGGCCAGCACAGTGCATGTTTAGTAAAAGCAGTTGGTTTGAAAATATTTTGTTTGAATCATGGATATTGCAAATGCCAACACTGGTTATGGATAGGTTCTAAAAGTCTCCTGATCTTTCACAGCTCTTCAGCCAAGGGACAGATGTGGCTTTAAGAATAAGACTATTGGCGTAGAAATCAGAAGATACGAGAGTTAAAATTTTAAACACTAAATTTTACTTTAAAAACTTTTTTTATAATAGTATTTACATGTGGAGAACTTGGCAAAGAAGGTTGGTATTTGCTTATATCGTACTTACAAGGATCATTAACAAATATAATTGAGCGCAGATATGCCAGGTGCTGTTATAGGTATAGAGGTACACTATCATTTGGGGGGTTAGGATAATTTTTTTCCCTAGGGAAAAATAAAATATTCCTCAAATAAGAATAGGTTGTGTGGTGTAATTTTGAAGGCAAAATTGTCTACTTCGTAAATCAAAAGCTTTCATATATTTTGACGTTGCATTTGATCTAGAACTTGGAGGAATAAGAACAAGCAAACTTGAGTAAATCTAAATAATTTGCATCTTAATTGTGTCACTGTAAAAGATTTTTTAAAATGTATTATATGTGGAAACCCAGTTTATGATTGATTTTTAAAAAGGGATTGAATTAGATTATGGAAATTTAGGTTATTTTCTTCATAAGAAAAAATTTAGAAATTATCAAATACCATACAATACTTAAATTTTCTTGGGAATGACAAATTTCAAATATTGATTTCCAGTGGATGTACCCTTAGCATAACCAAAATCTCCAGAGATTTCAATCTTGGTTTCAAAACTTGACATAAATTAAGGAAAATTCTGTAACACTAAGTTTTTATTTCTGATGTTCCTCATTTATCTTTTCACTTAATTGAATGTAAAATTTACTACTTGATGGATTATTCAAAGAAAGGAAATTATTTTAAAATGTTAGCCAGTAAGTATGTTTTAGTGCTATTACAATGACATAAGAAAACATGAAATAAAAATATAGATTACCTTAAGATTATCTAACCATGTATTTTCCAAATAATGCTAAATATCTTTTTTTTTGAGATGGGGTCTCACTAAGTCACCCAGGCTGATCGTAGTGCACTATAGCCTCATACTCCTGAGCTCAGGTGACTCTCCTGCCTTAGCCTGCTGGTAACTGGGACTACAGGTTGGTGCCATAGCACCTGGCCAAATATTTTAATTTTTAACTGTAAATCTATTTGCAGTTAAATATAGCTTTTATTATGTTTGGGAACCAACCTGAGAATAAATAAAAAATAAGATAATGAGAAACTTTGTGTGGTAGGCTTAATAATGACCTCCTGCCCCAAAGATGTTCATGTACTACAAACCCGAAACTTGTGAATATGTCACCTTAACTGGCAAAAGGGACTTCGAAGATGTGATTAAACTAAGTGTCTTGGGATGAGAAGATTATCACGGATTATCTCTGTGGTCTGAATGTAAAGGTCCTTATAAAAGAGAGGCAGCAGAGTCAGAGGAAGAGAGGGAGATGTGATAACAGAAGCAGGAGTCAGAATCAGGGATTTGAAGCTCAAAGCTGTTGGCTTTGAAGATGGAGAAGGAGGCCATGAGAGCCAAGGAATGCAGGCAACCACTATAAGATAGAAAAGACAAGTCAAGAAATTGTACTCTGGAGCTCAGAAGAAACACAGGCTTCTGACATTTTGATTTTAGCCAAGTGAGACTTCTAATCTACAGAACTGTAGATAATAAACTTGTGTTGTTTTAAGCCAGTAAATTTGGGGTAATTTGTTACGGTAGCAATAGGAAACTGACACATACTATACAATAGTTGGACATAACCCTGACAAACCTATAGTCAAACATCATCAGTTCGTGGAGGAAAGATGACAACATGACATTATTTTAATGCCTACATCAGTTGAACCAGCTATTAGAGTTAAGAACAATTCTTAGAAAAGTTATCCATGTAGTCAGTTTTAAACAAATCCAATGTATGAAAATCATGTTATAAGGTAAATTGGAAAAGTTTATTTACTTTAAATCTTAAATCATGTGTCACATTTTCTGCTTTCTATTTTTAAACTTTGTGTCTCCTACAAAACAATAAAAACAAAAAAAGTAAGCATAACCTTTACTTTCTTTCCAAATGCCTTTAGGTTTTAAAGCAGTAATTACACCTTGCGGCACTACCCGGTTCGGCCGGTGCCTGGCTGGAGGGCGCCGGAGAGCCTGGAGCAGCGCGCCCGGAGGCGGGAGCAGGAGGAGGAAGAGGAGCAGGAGGTGGTCAGTAGCGCGGCGGCCGCCAGTCCGCAATGGTGCCACCCTGGTTGCTGCTCGGGACTGAGCGCAGGGCTGTCCTCGGGTCCGTGAAGGCTGCGCTCTGCGGTGAGCTTGGTGGTCACTGGGAAAGGGAGAGGGCCTAACTTTGGACTTCAGGCAAGGGTTAACATTGGTGGGGGTGCTCGCTTCTTTAGACTTCCAGTTAAAAGTCAGACCCATCACTCTTGGCACCTGGGAATGTAACACCCACTAGCAGTTCTTGTTCGAAGATCTCGGGCTACCCGAACCTGTGGGCGCCCTGGGGAAGCAGGGACGGAAGTAAACATTACTCCAGCCACGTCGTGTGGGAGGGCGTTTATATTGGTAGTGGTGCTTGACTGAGCAATACATGAAGGCCCATTTTGCGACTCAGAGGAGCGAGCAAGATAGCCAGTCCCTGCCCGTGAGAGTCGTAATGCCGAGCCCAGCCTTGCAAGTTACATTTGTGACCCGCTAGAGAGCAGCGCTCGGCGCTTCATGAAACAGCCACCTAGAACTATAAAGCGTTAGAACTATAAAAATACCACCCCTTATTTTACCGATGAGCCAGCAGAAACCAGATAAGTGAAGGTGGTTACCGGAGGCGTTGGGTCTAGAACTCAAAGCGGTCCCTTCTTTTCGCTTTGCATGCCGCCTCTCCAGCACCAACTTTTATCTGTGGCTGCAGCTACAGGGACCCAGCATTAACACAGCTTCCCCCCAGCCCCACCTACCTATTTTAACTGTTGGTAAGTCGTCTGTGGTTTAAGAGGTGCTTTTGTATGCAATTTTTTTTTTTCTTTTCTTCCTCTCTCTCTCTCTCCTTTTCTTTTGTTTTGTTTTTGTAGAGATGGGGTTTTAGTTGTGTTTCTCAGACTGGTCTCCAACTCCTGGCCTCAAGTGATCCTCCTGCCTCGGCCTCCCACAGTGTTGGCATTACAGGTGTGAGCTACTGCTCCTGGCCTCACACTGTTTCCTTTCACCTTTATTAAAGAATCATTTGGTGGGGTGCGGTGGCTCTTGCCTGTATTCCTAGCACTGGGAGGCTGAGCTTTTTGAGCTCAGAAGTTCAAGACCAGCCTGGCCAACATGGTGAAACCCTGTCTGTAGAAAAAATTAGCTACTTATGGTGGCACACACCTGTAGTCCCAGCTACTTGGGAGGGCTGAGGCAGGAGGATCACTTGAGCCCAGGAGGTCGAGGCTGCAGTGAGCCGAGATCACATCAGCCGAGATCACATCATTGCACTCCACCCCAGGTGACAAAGTGAGACCCTGTCTTTAAAAAAAAAAAAAAAAAAAGAATCATTTATTGAGCTCTGGGACTGGCCTGGTGGCTCACACCTATCATCTCAGCATTTTGGGAGGCCAAGGCAGGAGGACTACTTGAGCCCAGGGGTTCGAGGGACCAGCCTTGCAACATAGTGATACCCCATCTCTACTAAAAAGAAAAAAGAAACAAACAAAACAAAACTCCAGCATGGTAGCACACACATGTAAAAGCCGGCTACCGTGAGGCTTAGGTGGGAGAACTTGCTTAAGTCTGGGGAGGTCTAGGATCTAGTGAGTCACGACTGCATCACTGCACTCCAGCCTGGGCCACAGAGCAAGACTTTGTCTCAAACATGAAAAATCAACCATTTATTGAGCTCCTAAACTGCCAGGCTTCCTGCTGGTGATACGGCCTCTGCAGCTCAGTTCACCCATTTCTAGGAAGGCAGACACAAGCACCACACCACACACACAGCCCAGTCAAGTGACACTGCAATGGAAAGAACAACTGACTCTGAGTTCTAGAAAGTATTAGAAAAAGGTACCTTTTTTATTTAAATAATTATGCTGTAATACAAAAGCCAAGCTCTTGTAGTCCCAGCTACCAAGGAGGCTTAGGTGGAAGGATTACTTGAGCCTGGGAGACTATGCCACTTCACTTCAGTCTGGTCACCAGAGCGAGACCCTGCCTCAAAATAAATAAATATACATATAAAATTATGCTAGTATGGGGGCAATAGTGGCTCACGCTATAATCCCAGCACTTTAGAGGCCGAGGTGGGTGGATCACTCCATGTCAGGAGGTTCGAGACCAGCCTGGCCAACATGGTGAAACCCTACCTCTACTAAAAATACAAAAAATTAGCCAGGGTGGTAGCACGTGCTCATCCAGTTACTCGAGGCTGAGGCAGGAGAATTGCTTGAACCTGGGAGGCAGAGGTTGTAGTGAGCCGAGATCACACTATTATACTCCAGCCTGGGCGACAGGACAAGATGCCATCTCAAAAAAAAAAAAATGCTAGTATTAAATGATTCTATCCTCATATTAAAACAAATGCAACATGTGGCTCCTTTATATATCCTCCCCTCCCACTCTTTTCTCCCGACATGGCTTGATACACACCCTTCTAAACACTTGTCTATGAATATACATAAATAAAAGTATTTAAAAATACTGTATATACAAATGTGATCTGGTGCATACTTTTCGCAGTTTTTTCTCAGATACCAGAAGCCTTCTATGTAGGTGCACATGTAACTCTCTTAACTGCCACATATGTTCCACCATTTCACCAGTCACCTATTGATGAACATTTTGATTTCCAATTTTTTTGCTATTATGAAGTTTTTTAGTAATTATCGCTAGTATACCACTTGCGTATTTGTACAAATATTTTACTAAAATAGATATCTAGATGCACAATTGTTAGATTAAAGGGGAGGTGGCAAGGGATATTTAACTGGGCCTTAAAGGAGAGTAAGAGTGTTCCATGGAGAGATGAGGGAGAAAGATATTTCTTTGAGAATGGGCAGTATGTATAAATCACTTAAGGAAAGGCAGAAATAGATATTGATTGATTGCACTGTATATACATTACCCATTTAAAGCTGATAGGTTTAATGACAATAATATTCTATTTTACAAACAAGAAACTAAGTCCTAAAAATTTTAAGTAATTTCTGTAGGGTTACAGGGGTAAGTGGGTAAGCCAGAATGTGAATCTAGGTTTATCTGACTCTAAAATCCCTCCTCTTTTCATTATAAAACTGTATTCAGAGCACACATATACCTTTTTTTTTTTTTTTTTTTTTTTTTTTTTTTTTTGGGAGATGGAGTCTTGCTCTGTTACCCAGGCTGGAGTGCAGTGGCACAATCTCCATTCACTGCAACCTCTGCCTCACGGGTTCAATTCTCCTACCTCAGCCTCCTGAGTAGCTGGGAATACAGGCACGTGCCACCACGCCCAGCTAATTTTTGTATTTTCAGTAGAGACGGGGGTTTCACCATGTTGGTCAGGCTGGTCTCAAACTCCTGACCTCGTGATCCGCCCTCCTCGGCCTCCCGAAGTGCTGGGATTACAGGCATGAGCCACTACGCCCGACCAGGAGCACACATATACTTTTGATGTAGCTGGAGGATAGGGCAATTGGGGCCTAAGAGGAGAAATGGGGGGAGGAGTGGGTTTGGTAAACTGCTGGTAAGGGGTTGTTGAAAGGCATTAAGGAACATACTAAGGAGCTTGGATTCTATCCTGTGTTGTAATGCCGCAGTGAATATCCAGGTGATGTTAGGTTTACTAATGTGGAAACTGTAAAACCGGAGGTTATTCAAAGGTTAGGCTGAAAATGTGAAAATCAGGTGCAGTCTGTATTACTCTTGAAAATCTTTCCTCTAGAGAACCACACATCATCTCAGTAAATCCTAAATAGCCAGTTTTTCTTCAGTACAGGAACAGATTAGTGTTTCTTTGAGCACAAGATCAAGTGGTTGATTTGCAAGTGGAGCACATGCGATACATAAAAACACGCACTGTTGGCTTTAAATAATTAGTGTGGAATAGAGGCTCATATCATGAGAGGCTTGGGGGAGCTGAGACTCATCAAACAAATAGGCTTGCTCAGGCTTTTGCTCACTGAGTGGAAAGGCAAGAAATCTAGTGTTCACTGGTTATTTCCCCCATCCTCCACCTCCCAATAGGAGTATAATTGAATTATAGAAAGTTAAATATCAGTTAGATGACTACAAGAAAAACATAACTATCTTTGATCCAGTTAAAGAAGTTACTTGCTGTCACTATCTTTCACAGTGGCTAAGAGCCAGAATCTTGAGTTTAACATAAATTATAAAATTACCATAGTTTTCCAGTTCCTAACAATGAGCAGTAATGAGCATTATTACTCAGCCTGCTGGCTCTTTATATTCTGGGAATTCAGAAAACAGCTAGCTGGATGAGAAATAGTTTGATTCTAGGTTAAGATCTAATCTTATAGACACAGTGAATCAACTTTTCAGATCTGAAGGGGGTGAGGAAACCTGTATTTTTAAGTTTTGTTTATTGTGGTAAAATATGTATAAAATGTGATTTTAACTATTTTGAATGTACAATTCAGTAGCATTAATTATATTCACAGTGTTGTGCAACCATTGACACTTTTTATTTCAGTACAAAAATTTTCATCACCCCAAACAGAAACTCACCATTCCTCCTCCCTCCAACTCCTGACAACCTCTAACCTACTTTCTGTCTCTATGAATTTGCCTGTTCTAAATATTTCATATAAATGGAATCATATAATATTTGTCCTTTTGCGTCTGGCTTACTTCATTCAGCATGTTTTCAGGGTGCATCCGTATTGTGGCACGTGTCAGTACTTCATTCATTTTTATGACTAATCCATTTTATGTATACATCACATTTTATTTATCCATAATCTGTTGATGCACACTTGGGTCGTTTCTGCCTTTTGGTTATTGTGAATACATATGAGCATTAGTGTACAAGTATTTGTTTGAGTCCCTGTTTTCATTTGAGCATATACATGGGAGTGGAATAGCTGGAAACCTGTTCGTTTAAACCTTTATAGCTATTTGTCCATTTGTATGTTACTTTGCTAGCCATGAAAATGACAGATGAAAATAGAAAAGTATGGCTGGTCTGAAGGTAGTGAGTTACCTCAATTCATTGTCCAGTCAGTTACAGATCGAACTTGTTCTACTCTTTCCCTCCTTTTCACTACTGCACCTGACTAGTCTAAAAAAAGAAAAGAAAAGAAATAAAACAAAAGAGTGTCTATTTTTTATAAGAAGATATGCTT